TGCGGCGTTTGACTCTTGATTTGCACCTTGTTCGTTCGAAATTTCGCTGTTTATCGTTTTCATTTTCGTCTCTATATTTTTTTTTATAACCTCACTTTTCTTCTTTCTTTTTTTTTTTTTTTTTTTTTTTTTTTTTTTTTTTTTTTATTGTTCGGCAGTTAGTGGCTATGTTTCTTCGACTGTTTAGGCCACGTTGTTCTTCTTTTTGTTTAATGGTCTCTTATGTTGTGTGTACGTGTTACAGGTTTGTTGCGTTGTCATACTCGATAACGGACTTAGTAAAAGAAGAATTTGATAACCTTCTGTTCTCGTTTTGGCGGGCTCTGACTTCAATTTTCTTTTAATTTCACAAGTTTTTTCCTGTCTTTCTGGGCACTATCGCACTTGGTCTCTGTCTCTAATTAACCCTTTCTTGATCCCACTTCTGAGTTTGTTGGCTTTTTTCTTCTTTGGGGCTTTAGCCAAACTTAGGTTCTCGTCAAGATGCTTAGGGGTAAGGCCATTAAGGGTGATAATTAGAGAAAACGGCACTTCAAAATAAACTAGCTATGTATTAACACAGAAAAATGCAACAATAAAGTTAGAAAAATAGTTTTTATGGACTCCGATGTTCACTCTCTTCTCTACATTCTCCAACTGACTGTTCGTCGTACCAACTTCTTAAAAAAAAACAATATAGGTAACCTAACAAATAAAAATTTACAACAATTATTAACTTTAAATGCTTCATTTATTATTCTAGAGTTACTTGAAAATAAGCCTATTTATATGTATACGATAATATTATATAGTTTTATGTTGCATTGTTTAAAGATGGCTTTAATAATGAATGACAGCCTCTGGCAAAATCTTAAAGTGATTTATGTGTTTTGTACGATTCCGCTAGAGAGATCATCTTCCAATATAAAGTACTTAAATAAATAGTAAATAGAAAATGTTCTATCATCTGACTGCAGTCACTGAAATGTGAAATGTCTATCTTACTCACACAAATTTCATTACAGGTAAAATAATATTTGAAAAGAGTAAATTACTGTTACTAATTACAAAAACAAATATTTTTATCCTATTACTTGTTATTAATTTTATATGGATTATTTGGATTTAATGTTAGTAGTATTGATTGCTTATTGTTAAATGATTAGTTCAAATTATAAAATTACTATTTGGTACTGATTTTATTTTTATATAAATGTCAATAAAAAACATCTAAAATAACACACGTGTATTTATACGTAATCTAAATGTTCATAATATAATATTTCAAAACATTCATGACCACGCAGTAAGAGCACATTTCTCGAATTCATTAAAGGACAAAAAATTTGCCAAAAATTATTATCAAAATGAACATTTTTGTTTGTAAAAATTTCCAGCTCGCTCCAGGCTTGCTAAAATTTTCAAATTATGTCAGGGTATGAACAAAATGTGTACCCTTACCCAAAATGTTTAAAATAAACCATTCACACAATAATTTTTATTGAAATAATTTGAAAATTCGGAAACAAGTCACAAAAATCTCCCTACGAATTATTAGGACCATCCCCGAACCCCAAAGAAGAAAACAAATATTTGCAGATCTGAAAAAAGTCTGTCACCACTAGGATTCTAACCCAGACATCTTTGTTTTGTACGCAAATGCCCTTAGAGCTATACCATCACGACATTGACTGTTGAGATTCCTAGACGAGAATTTGATGTGCTAATTCGGGCCAAGCGCAAATTTAATTGAAACTTCATACGTTCCTGTTTAAAAGCAATTCTAAGTTCTAATCCCCACCCTGCACAATGGTGTAATTTTAAATATATCTTATGGAAAACTATTGCCTAAAGCGTAAAGCTTTCAATCTGTTGTTGAAAGAATAGTAAAAGCAAGTACGCCAATGGAAAATGTACGTGCGGCATTTTTTGGTCCTAATTTTAGTGGGCCCAAATATTAAACAATACAATTACTACGCTACGCTTTAATGTCACCGGCGTGTGGCTAAATACGTTCATTTCCTCTAATTCAAAGTAGAGTACTACAGAAATTTTGGTAATTATTAGTTGTGGGTATATAATAATAAAAGTTTTAAATTGCAATTTTGACTCACTTCATGAACAAAATGTTATTTTTAGATTCTTGTTAGAGATAAATTAATAAAGAAAAAGTCCCCATTCTGCTTCTAACTGCCTTTTTTCTACAATTCCTACTCTACTTTTTGGTGGGAATAGGAATAACGCTGTCTTATTTATACTTTATCTACAACATTCAGAAAGGGTGGGTGGCTGAGTGGTTAAAGTCTGGACTTCCGGATCTAAGGATCTCAGGTGCTAATTCCACCAGTACGAGATTCTGATACGTAGGTAGTATTTCCCAATTGATCGTTCACTGTTAGGTTCTAATTTTTTAATTGTTCCTAGAGTGGCGATGGAAAGCAATAAAAAGTATACATATAACACATATTTCTAAAAAAAAAATAACATACCAAACTCAGTTAGATAATTCCTACCAAAGCCATAGCACTTAAAATAGTAGTTTTGTCCAAGAAGAGTGGATGATGGCCATATCGCACGAACACGAAGAGTATGAAACATTTTAAGCTTCTTTTATGGTTTACCTATAACCATTCATGAATTACAATCGCCTAAAATTGAGTTAAAAATTCAAATGATATTTTTTCAATTTTATTGTTTACTTTCAAATACTTTACTAACAGAACTATTTTTTTTCTTTTAATAATAATATACCCATTTTTTAATGGTCAAGCTAAGTAACTAAAGTAATAAGCATATGAGAATATAAACTATTTTTTTTAATTATATACAGAGTAACCCATTTGAAAGCGAACCACCCTCATACATTTTTTATTTATCAAGCGATTTTGACGACTTTTTTTTAATGTAGAAGGGAGAGCCAAGCAGCGTCCAGTTTAAAAAAAAAACAATTCATACTAGATCACATTAAGAGGCTGAAAAATCCAGAATCAATATTAGCGATTTTTTTTGAAAACATTCGAGTACGCTACTGGATTTGGCATCTTTTGAAATAGATCTGTACCAAGTTTCATGAAAAAATATTCAACATTAACTATGACTAAATTACTAACAAGTTGTTCATTATGCATTAAGAAGCTTTTTATCTAGTAACCGATACGATAACAAAAATTAATAAATAGGTATTGGTTTTTAAAAAGCTGGATGCTCCTCTCCACATTTAAAAAAAGTTGTCAAAATGGCTTCATAATTAAAAATTATGAGGGTGGCCTGCTTTCAAATGGGCCACTCTGTATATACTCAATCCAAGTAGCTAAAGGAAAATAATCATACTAAAGTACTTATAACTAAAAATAAATCATTTTCACATAAATGTTAAAAAATAAAACAGAAATTCAATTGTTCTAAAATTCAACCATTTACCTAATTTCTTAAAGCCATTAAAAATGACAAATTCCATGACCTTGTCTCTACTTAAACTAAAAATTTGATATTATGCGGAAGCAAAATTCTTCCAAACGTAGGAAATGTTTCAATTTATCTAAGAGGAGAAACCGTTCAAGTCGTCCAGTTTGTTAAACTAAAAATTTCATTCGAAAAATTAGTATTAAGTAACGGGTTTATTAATGTTTTTAAAGATGGCCATGACTGACAAAGACAGAAATACGAATCATATCCGGGATAACTACACACGCATCTCACTTAAATCCAAACTGTCTGTAAAAAAGAAAAAATTGTAAACTGTGATTTTTACATGGCCCACTGTAGAAACATTTTGTGTGCCTCACTGTAAGCATATATCGACTTGATAGTCCTTATTATTTTAACATGGAATAAGAAATTATATTACTACTAAATTGAAAAATAATTGACTTCTTTTCTTCTTCTTTTTCTATCTATCTATCTATCTATCTATCTATCTATCTATCTATCTATCTAATCTATCTATCTATCTATCTATCTATCTATCTATCTAATCTATCTATCTATCTATCTATCTATCTATCTATCTATCTATCTATCATCTATCTATCTATCTATCTATCTATATCTATCTATCTATATCTATCTATCTATCTATCTATCTATATCTATCTATCTATCTATCTATATATCTATCTATCTATCTATCTATCTATCTAATCTAGGAATTTATATAAATAGTTATAAATAAATATACATCAACTGCCTAGCCTAGAGCAATTCCTCTTAAGTTTCTTAGTAAATTTGCATGCTCCTTACTCTTTACGAAATGCAATTTTTGTGTTTATAAACAATGAGAAGTGCGTTGAAAATTACAAATGGCACCGCAAACGATTCGAATGTAAAGGACGAAATAATAATAGTTCACAACAATAAGCGGAAAATGTAATTTCGTTTCATTGGAGTTAAATGTTTCCTATAATAATAATTTATCATCAAATGTTGTAGTGTTGATTAGTCTTCTTTCTCCTTGAAGGAGGATGCAGCTTTTAGCGGTGCAAATGCTGTAAATCATTCGGCATAAATTAGTAGGGGATTTAAATGATTCGTTGCTATCTTATTTGCTACTAGATAACATGGATATATTTTTGTCTATCTATAAAATTTATAATTCTTAAAATTTGTACAATTTATTCATACAAATAGTAGATTGTTTAATTAGTAAGATTTTAAAATCAAAAATGAATAATAAATAACAATAGATGATTTCAGCGGAAGACATTGCAGTTGCAGGGTCATTGCAAGAGCTTTGCGCCATCTATCTGTGTACATAGCAAGTAGTAGAAGCAAGCTTTATTATTTATTGTACTTACAGAAGTGTCTATGGCATATATAGTACAAACTAGTAGATAGCGTTCCATCAACAATTAATAAAATAAATGTTTCTGGTACCTACTTTCTATCTTCTTCATTCTTATTAAAAAAAAATTGCAAGAACTAAGCTCAAGATATAGTAATAAAAGTAATCAAATTTGACTTTTACAACTCCCTATACTTTGTTTCGTTGTATAGAAACTGTCAAACAAAGTTTACAAACGTCAATGTTTTCTCACAACAAAATGCAACTTTGGTACCCAAAACATTCTTCAGACAGTAATATTTCACAAACGCAAAGAAAAATCCGTGAGAGTTTGGAGTCTTACACCAGCGAAGACACAGACTTGACAGATGCTGATTTTCTGTCAGTAGATTCTCAGACCACTAACACATCTGATACTAGTAGAACTGTTAGTCCAACGAATTCCTATGCACATTTTAATGTAAAAAAACAAAGACATACAAATCAAGAATTAAATGAAGCAAACTTCTGTACAGATAAACGAAATCTACAAGTAAGCGATTTTATAGACTTGAATTACTGGAAAGAAGAAAAAGTATGTTGTGGGATAATTTTTCGAGGAGTTCACGATGAGATAATGATAGATCCAAGGTTCATGAAGGCTTGTTCTAGTAGAATAAGGAATATAGAAAGGAACAAAGAAAATAGTACAGAAAATATAATTGTGTAAATAATTTTTTTATTTTGTTTAATTTGAGGTGTTATTTAAATGTGACTATTGTTATGGATGTATCTTTTAACTAATATAAATATGTTTTATTACTTCGCCCAAAAAATAATTTTATTTGGAAACTAGGATAGCTTGCTCCCGATTTTAATCATCTCTTGAGGATGCCAACTTAAATTTTACTATAGCCACGCAATTTAAAATTGTATAGCATGAAAGCTTATTTTATTCTTGAAAAATTTATTTACTAATTATAATGCACAAAAAGAAAACAGTTTTATTATTCATCCAGCTTAGTTATCCTCTTATATGAGGGTTAAATCCAGTGGCATGTCTACCTCCTCCTCCTCCATTATATCCTCCACCGTTATATCCTCTTCCGTTATAACCTCCTCCGTTATAACCTCCTCCGTTATAACCGGCACCACCTCTGGGTCGAAAGCCTGTCGCATGTTGAGGGAGTGGATCTGCACATCCTCCACTAATCAGAAGAGCAAATACCAGAAGTGATATCTGTAAAAAAAAAAACGATAGAAGTTATTTACATAAATACAAAAAGATGCATATATTCGTTTACAAGGGACAAGATAAGAACATGAAAACCAGGCAGTAAATTTGAACGTGTAGTTACTAGGCATAGCTTTACCTTGAGTTTATACGTCAAATAATATTAGGAGGGACGCAAACTCATATTTCCGACCAATGCAAATAATTGCGACCAAATATAAATCAGCCGCCATTTTTTTGGTGCTAGAGAAGACGTGGTTTCATTTGTGTATTTTGAACTTTCTTACATCAATGAATTATTAGTGATTATAGTAATAACAACCCTGAAACAATGTCACTAAAGTATTTGACAGATCTGACACTTAAGTTGCGATAAAAGTCACTTAGAACCGCCATTTTCATTAAATTTCTTGTTCTTATTGTTCGATAGAAATATATGATCTAAGGAGTAATTTTTCAAAAGGATCACGCACTTTGGGTATTCAAAAGTATTTTCTAATTATTTTAATATCTAGCTGAAAAGCAATTTGTTCTGAAATACTCGAAAACCAAACATTTTGGAGAGATCCACTAAAAACTAGGTTCTAATAGTTTATTAATAATCCATAATTTTAGTCATGGAATAACAATAAGAAGAAACAAATAAGTCATGTTTTATACAAATTAGGAGGGATTTTCTCAGAAATCATAGTAATAAACACCCATCTATGTAAATATTCCTGGTCTTCTGATTTTTAGAATACATGGCTCTTTCGAAAAAAAGAAAAGTTATATAATATCTATATTGGAAATTAAAAAGGAAACTCAAATTATTATCTATGATATCCAAAATTTAATTTCGAAGCTTAACTCTGTCACTTTTTAATTTTATGTTTTATTACTTCGTATACAGGGCTGGCATAAAGTATGGAATAATTTTTTTTTTTTTTTGTAAAAAAATGTTAATATCTAATTCCGCTATATTTACATAATATTTTACGAAAAAGACCAGCTGTACACAATATAAATTTAAGGACAACACTTTTACAGCTTCAGTGCATAGAATTTCAAAATTTGAGGGTTGTTTTAGAAATAAAATAAATTTTAATTTGAATTACAATAATATTGCTAAGAATATTTAAACAAGAACTTATTTCAATGACTCGTAATTTTGTTGCATTGTTGTATCTTTTGTTTTACAGATAAGTTGTTTTAAATCCAGTGTGGACGAATTCATAAAAACACGGTTTATTAAAATTGGCAGAAAAAATACAGGGTGTTCCTTTTATGTTAAATCGGGAGTGCAGTCATTAACAATCCTTCATTACAGCATACAGCAATCTGCAAAGTTTTGTCAATATCAACGTTTCCGTTTTAAAAATATTTGCCCGGTTTCATATTTTATCCCAATCCTGTATCAATGAAACTGAGTTCATTCCTCATTTCTATTTTTAATTAAATTCCTTGCCGAAATAGATAATAAATATAAAAATTAGATTAAATAATTAAAATACTTACCCATAAAAGAATGGAACTCTTCATAATGAAAATAATCTTGATAGAATGGAACACGAAGAGTTCAATTTATTATTTAACACAAAATCATGGATTACAGTCTTTTTATATTTAAGAAAGATAAATACATAAGCACTTAGTCTCAAAGTCAAGGATTTCTTTGTATTCTGTTGAACAAAAAAAAAAGGGAATTACGTAATTAGGTACATGATTTTGAAGAGAATTGTTCTAGTGAAAACAAATTATATAATAATGATGATCAAATACAATTATTTTAATTATTTTTTCTTAAATGCCTTCCTATGCAAAGTACCGGTAGGTGCTACCTCAGATTGTCAGTTTTTAAGTTTAAAAGAAGTAAGTGTTATATATTTATTATAACAAATGATAGCATTAAATTAACAAAACATTTAAATTTGCATTTTCACAGAAAATATAAAACGATTACCTCTAAGAAGTCTCTTTGGATTTTCGATAGAACAAAAGGTGCATCAACGATGCATCTTAGGACTTTTATTTTGGAAAACTTGTATCATGTTGATATTGTTGTACACTGACACTGACAACTTAGATTTTCTTCCTAGGAGCCAACACATTTTTTTGAATTTAAGTTCAACTTCTTTACGCATTTTTTATGTGTTCTTTTCATTTAAGTCGTACATCTAGATTCATCTCTAGGTATTTAAGAACTATATTAAATGATCCAAAACCTCCACAAGACTGTAAATTCTTGCTGGACCATCTGCACCCTAGATATAAAACTATTTCCCTTTGTGTAGAAGAAAAGTATCTCTTTTATACTAAATTAAAAAAAAAACAGTATCATCTTACAAGATTTTATTTGATAAAAAACAAAATATAAATACTATGGCACTATAACTTACAAATACAAATTATTTTACAGCATTTCTATTATCACCTTATAAACTAAAAATGTTTTAAGTACTTCATTGAATTTAATAATACCCACGCGAAAAATACTTGTGATGTTTATTGGAAAATGTGATAAAATTTAAAGAAAATAAAAGCATAATAATTAATAAAGGTAATAGTGCATTCTACCTTTCTGCAAATTTCTTGGATCAATATTTAAAAACATTGAATACTCTTTTGGATTAAATCTTATGTTCACTTCTTTTTCAATTGTTCTTGAAATAAAAATCTTTTTTCAGTATATTTTTAAACACAGGTTTTAAAAAGTGTACATGTAAAAATGTGTGATCTCAACAAGCGGTAGAAAGGTTAATTTGAATTATTAAATAATATTTAACTAATCAGTATACCTAGAGATGATTTTAAACATACATTTTACGAAAAAGTCTTTGCAATTCTTTAAAATTGAAGTTGTACATCTGTTTAGGTACATTAAAACCAAAAAAATAACCTAAGACTGTAAAAAGTGCCTACCTATAAATTAATTTAGAAAATATGAGTACCTAAACAAATTCAGAAATAAAAAGCTATACACTAACTCTAATTTTCTACAAATATTCTTAAAATATTAGGAAATAATGATAAAGTAAAAAAAGTGGGATATTACTAAATATTGACTAAAATAAATAGCATTCATAATAAAAATAAGAAAAGAAAAATACGCAATGTTTACCTAAAACTGTGTGAAATTCGTATAAAATTTTAATAACTTAAAAAAAATAATCAAAATGTAATGTTTAATCGTTTAAAAAAAATTCACCAATACGTAAAAATTGATCAAAAATGAATTATGTTTTAAATATTCTAAGAAACCATACAAAGGATTTGAAATAAAGATAACATAAATAAATATGAATATAAATAAATAAATAACTAAATTAAATAGTTAATAAAAAAGTAGGTGTATTTTGGTAACTTTAGCACATTCCATATATTGATTTTAAAGAGTATTCTAAGGATTTTTCAACAGTCCACGTTTATTAGTTAACTCAAATATTCATTACAATACGCTAGTTCGATGTGATGTCATTTTGGTTCCAATGACATTTAATTCTAACCAAACTTTTAACAAAAACATCAATACATTTGACAAATACGTTTTTACTGTTTTTAGTTTATTTCTAAATATTGTCTATAGGGCTTAAAAAATAGTTTAAAGATATGTAATTGGTAACTAAACGATTGTATATTTGATGCATGTTATCTACTTACTTTAGGAATATATTTATAAAAGTGAAAAAAAGATATAATTTAGATAAACAAAATGCACTCAAAAAATCTACTGTCACTTTAATTGTCAGTGGAACCATAATTACATCATCATTGATCTAGCGTATTCTGATAAAGGTATGTCAAAATGTTTACAGAATAGAATTCCCGTTGCTTGGAGTTATTTTTTATTGACTATCTTCATAGACCAAATATCAGCGACTATTTCTCTAGAGAAACATTTTACAATTTGATTCTACATAATTTTGGCATTAATAATCAATTGATGTCTCATCAAATTGGTATTAAAATATTCTCGAGATTTCGATTCAACAAAAATAGTTGACTATTATCAAGGTCTTGGTATATTACCCTTGATTATCAATCTGCTAAATTTCTATATTCAATTATAAGTACTTTTGACTACTTAAAGGTTCCATGTTGAATAATTTCATTAGAATTCATATTTCTTGGTTAAAATACAGCGTATTTGTAAAAGGTCTTTACAATAACACACCACATATATAAATATATTCAAATAGGCCGATTTAAGTAAACTTACCTCAGCATACGAACAATCGACCCGAGTTTTACACTATGTATAGTATATTTTTTCTACAACCAATAAAGAAAATGTCTAAATTTTACAAATAAGTTAAAATAACTATTTTAAAAATAATTTGATTTTACTAATTTGTAATTAAATTGGTTTTAGATAGTTTTATTAAAATTACGATTTATTTGTAAATATAGATGAAAATCTTCACAAGAAACGCTCATTTTTAATGTATATTTAATCTTAATTACTAAAAAACATACTGACAATTAGTTTGGCCGAATTTTCACATATCTAATGTTTAAAAAACAAAATAAAAGTAGCCTGGTAACAAATATATACAGTGATTGGTGAATTTCATATATGTACAGTGTTCTTACTAGAATGGATAGGAAATATATTGGTTTTCGTTCTGTAGTCTGTGCTTGGAATAAATAAAATCCACTTAGATTTTCAAATAATAATTTTTGGAATGGGCAAGTCAACAGACAAGTTTCCAAGAAAAGTGAGAAATTACGACACTATTGTAGTAGTATTGTATTGTACTACAGATTTTATGAAATCTTTGTTATTTGTATTCATGTTTTAGTAAATAAACTTTTTTTTTTTGAAACGTACATTAAAAACTATTAAAATTAATATTTCGCCAAAACTGTGGGCGTAATCGAGTTTTATGTAGTAAATGAGTTAAGCATTCCAAATTCCGTTTTCAAATTCATTTTCCTCCATTGGCGTAGAAATTTTAAATGTGCAAGTTTTAAGCCTATGAGTTAATATTAGTCATAATTTTTTCAAATAAAACCTAAAACTCTGTCAATGTAGGCGTTTAAAATTTATAATAGAGGAACGGTTTAAAATTTTAATTTTCATTACCGTCTAGTGGCCAAACTGAGCAATTTTGTACTGAGGTTTTAGTTAATACAACTAATGGATATGATATGTTTTTGTAAAGATATTTTACACACACCCCACATAATTTGGTATCAACTCTTTTACAAATCCGAATTATTTTACACCACTCGACTACCTATATACCTATATTTTTATAAAAATGCGTTGGACTTAATAAAAAAAAAAGAAAATAAACAATAATAAATATCATTCCATAGGGTTATATCAAAACAGCCTACTTTCACAACTAGTACCACAAAAATGTTTATTTTTACATAGACACAAAATTACATATTTTTTGACATTCTCCTCTTTAATAGTAAAGGAATTTTTTTTATTAAGGCCACTCGATAATAGGAAGCAGTTTTTTGTAATTAAATAACTAAAAATGTATCCAGTAAAATAAACAATTTTACGAAACCGGTATAATTTAAATTATGTAATTTTCAATTAAATTTCTTGTCAATTGTAAACGTTATTAATTTAATTGTATTTTTTTATGACGGTGGGTAATTGCTTTTGCGTTTATTCAAAGTATTTACGTTAATGCAGCGAAATCAAAAACATATTTAAAAAAAATGTTTATTTTTTATTTTTATTACAAAAAAAAATAATTTGAAAATTGTTTATAATTATGGATACATTGTTTCTTATAAATAAAAATGTTTTACAAACGTTTTACATCGTCCTGCGATAAAAATCATTTAAATTATTTAAGCGTAAAATATTTTAAATAAGAGAGGGAGAGAGATGAAATGTCTGTTTAATTCTACAAGTTATAAAAGTAATTTTAAAAAATCCGACTCCAAAATCGGGCAGATGCCATTACAAATTGAGTTTGCTGATTTTATCATCAGCTCTTGTCCAAATGTATATGGCACCATCTCCCGTGGTACCCCTATCTAACAAAAAAAAAAGAATCTTACAAATCGGACAAAGTGGTAAAGAATTATCGTTGAATATACATAAAAAATATTGAGAACCTTTTCCTCCTTTTTTTTTTGGAGGCCGTTAAAAACTTCTTTTTGAAATAAATTTGCATCAAACTTTAAAAATAAATTACAGGTAATGTGGTAAACTTACATTGTTTAAATAATAGCAATACATTTGGGAACTTAACGTTATTTATTTTTCAAGGAGTGCAAATGGAAATTAAGAAGTATATACTACTATTTTAGAAATTGTATTTGTGTATATAAATACGTTATTCGAATAAAAAAACATAATTAAATCACATCATTTGTCGATAACTATTTGAATACATTCCGATAAAATGCAAGCAAAGAACAAAAAAATTATAACTAATGTATAACTAAATGGTTTGGATTTAAATTTTCTATACAAAAATTTCGTAAACTATCAGTAGAAATGGTTATTTTTAATTATTGTACTAATAAAATATTAAAAGGTTGGTTAAAGAGAACTAAATAAAAAACGAAATTGTGCCTTTTTTTATTTGGGAATGGAGTTCTTTTGTGTTTGCAAGCCACTTTCAATATAAATACTTCTTTATAAATATGGACCTGAACTTTTCGAATTATAACTAACTAGTAGTTTTGATGAAAACTTAATTAGCTTAACAATGAGGACAAGTGGACTAACTATATGACCAAAATCAACTTATTTGTCTAACAAAAAAAAAAAAAAAAAAAATTACAAATGCAACTAGTGTTCCCAAAGTTATTTTGAAAATGCATCTGTGATGGAAAAACAATTAACTATGTGCCTTCTATGCCCAGGAGATATCAAGCAGCATTAGTTTCTAGAAAAAAAAGGCAAAAGATCCAAAGAAAAGCGAATGACCATTGTTCACTGCTTGTCGAAAATGAACAAAACTTACTTTTACAGAAAATACTTATCAAATCAATTCTTGAAATGGCACAGAATTGAAAAATATTCATCAAAATAACACCTACATTGTTACCTAATGTGCACATTTACTAACTTTTGCGAATCCACTTCTACTATTTTACGAAATCCCTGACAAAATAAATCCCGAACTACCCTGCATAATATAAAAATAATTTCTACATTTCATCTCTCAAAATTCGAATAACATTAACCTAATAAACACTAACGTTATACCGGAGGTATCATATTCGAATGGTTTTTTAAAGTCCCATTGGTTAGCGGCACATTCTCTTCCGGCGTCATCTCTTCCGGAGCAGTGATGGTTACTGGAATAGGACTAGTTGGAATTTTCATTTCGATGTGTCCATCATCAATCGACAATGAATCCATACTGGATAGGGTGTCGCTAGATTGCGAACGAACTGATGGAAATAACCCGTTCATGCGGCATTGGCCTAAAAAAAGAATTTTAGTAAATTTATGAAACTATAAGTTTTGCTTTTTTTTGCAGTAATTTCTGATACGCTTAAAAGAAGCAAGATGGTCGTCAGAAACTATGCAAGAACAAATCTTTCATGTGCATTTTTACCATAACGAATAGAATGAAATGAAAAATGGTATTTGTTAAATACTGGGTAATTTTATACAAGTTTGGTTGGTCGTGTACATTTTTGAATGTGGATGAAAAATGGATTTAGAGGTAAATATTTTAAATTTTTAGACAATTAATAATTGGAAAAAGTTCCCTATATTGTATCCACGGATAAATAAATAAAAATAAATATCCTAAGCATGCATACTTATAGAAATAATAGCTTTATATTACTGTTTCAATGGAAAATGATGCGAAAGCTACATAGTGGTAGAAGTTTAGGTTTGAAGATGGTTTTCCACCTAAAATAATTGAGTTTAAAAGAGCAGATGATTAAGAAATATGCAATAATTCTAAAGGCCGGTACTGAATCTTTTTATCAGTAATTGTCATAATAATTGCTGTACTTTCAACTTTAATTCGTTAATACCTAATTTTTCTTTATTAATGTTTAGTATACCTAACTTTGCTAGTCATTGAATGTATAAATTTCATATTTCATTCAGTTTACTTTACTCACTAAACGAATAAGTAGGCTATATCAGTCTACTAAACGGATAATTCTATATTTATTCTAAGTAAGGACACTGTAGTAATACAAAATCCATAAATCTCAGTTGGATAGACCAAATGGCGTGTAAGTAACCCTCAAAATAAGTATGAAAATGGGTTTAACCCTCATTTCAGATGTACGGGCTCAAAATATCAGAATAACCTCAAATTTGAAGTTAATTGTTCAAATTCTGTATTCATATTACACCTATTTTCAATTGGCAAGATATTAATAGGTTTGAAAATATTTTTCAGGTAGGGAGGACTTCCATATTCAAATATATTAAAATTCAATGACAGACAAACTTTTATCTGTATCAAACAAGGTTAAAAGGAATCATTTTAACGACATTTACATTCTGAAAATGAAACCTTTACACTGGTTAATATACATACAAAAATAAAATTCTTAATCAGTACCTGAATTTTATTTTTGTTTATGAAAATGGCCACATTTGAGCTGTTACGATTTTAAAACGTATATTCATAAATTATTGTAGATAAGCACTGATGATCGCTTACAGCCGAAAGCGTTTTATATTTTTTAATAAATACAAGTTTTTCATTGTCAATGTAAGCTACATACGTAATTTAAAATATTTTAAATCATTTCAAGCTACAGTAATGCCTTTTGCACTCTAAATTGACAAATAGGTATTTTTAAAGTATTTTTTAAAAAAATAGGGATAAAAATTCATATTTTTATTAAAATTTGAAATCAATAGTTTAATTTGCAACATTTCTAAATTGCTCAGTACCGCCACTTTATGTATTAAAATTTAACCAGTAACGATTTACCTAACTACTAGCAAACCAGATAACTTTAAATACCTACGTATATCAATTAGAAGCATTTTTAAAGCTTTTGCTAATGTTACTATACTGTGAAAAAGCCAATAAGTAGTTAAATATATTTTAACAAATAAATTCTTACCGGTTGTCAAAAATTTTGGTTTTTCTTCTGAAATAAAAAACAAAAAAATATAGAATACCTACACCTAACATCCACTATAAGAAAGGTATACAAAATAAAAAAGTGTAATGAAAAATATTATTTGTCTTCTGATTTATTATTGTTTATTTTTGCTTAAAGATAATCACAATAAACCTTGCGACTATTGCTTTATTTCTGGTAGGGAAGCTTTGGAAGTTGGTGCTTGAAGTGAACTTAAATTACTTTATGCCTAAAATTAAAAAAATTCCATACCCAAGCCTTCATTGTTGTACATGGCCCTCCTTTCGTCCAGTTCCCTAGCGCTACATAAAGGTGTGTCCACTTCGACTGTGTTGTTGAACAGCGCATAGTCTACTTCGTACTCCCCAGAATCCTTTTTGAATGTAATGAGCGACTGAAATCTGTGGCCCCATAAAATTTCCGACGGAAGATAACTGGATCTTGCTTGAGTTGTCATACCAGTTGACTCAATAACACCTTCTGTAAATAACGATTGTATTTGTAGGTATTAAAGAGAAAATATGAATATGATCAGAAAAAATGTTATGTTTTTAAGTTCTTTTGGCTTCTCATTAATAGTACAACATCATCTGCGTATGCTAATACTTGGTGGGATCTGTTGATCAGGGTTCCATATGGGTTTATTTCTCTTGACTATTTCAAGGGTTAAGTTAAAAAGAAGGGCGGATAATGGATCTCCCTGCCTAAGCTCGTTTTGGACTTCAAATTCTTCGGTTTCCTCACCTCCTACTCTTATTGCACACCTTGTATTTTCCAGGGTTATGTTCGTCAGTTTTACAAGTTTAAGAGGTATTTTTAGTTCTTTCAGAGCATTTACCAATTTTCGTCGATTTACTGTATAAACATATGTGTCGGTATTTCGTATTCGTAGCATTTTGTGAGTACCTATTTTAAAATCAAGATTTGGTCAGTCGTTAACCTGCCTTTTCTAAAGCCACATTGGTATTCTCCGATTCTCTGGTTTTTCTCCTTCTACTTCTATTATTCTTTTTATTAACGTGGCTAGTACCTTATATGTAACGTCCAGCAAAGCTATACCTTGATAGTTTCCACAGTCTGCTGGGTCCCCTTTATTATATATTGGCAGTATTACTGCTTTCCTCCAATTTAGTGGCATTTCTTAATTTCTTCATCACATTTGTTACCTAACCATTCCTTTCTCTTCTGCGTTTTTTTCTTATTAATATTTTTCACAGTTGATGTTTTTATGGCATTCTCTATGTTATTCCATTTCTTTTCTACTATGCTGGCCATGTTTAAAACTGGTGTATTGTCTAGACTTCTTTCTATGTCTGCTTTATATCTCCTTGATACCTCGTTTACCTGTAATTCTTCCATGTTATATTTTGTGTTTATATTTCTATAGATGTTTTGTTTTACCTTTTTTCGTTCTGTTAGAATTATGTTAGCAATAACTAGAAAGTGATGGGAGTTTGCATCTACCCCTCTGTATTCCGTTCCGCAATGAGAAAGTGGTCTATTTGATTTATCTTTGTGGTACCTGTTATGATCCATGTTCCTTTGTGAATATCTTTCCTTTTGAAATGCGTGCTCATGATTTTCATATCCTTTTCTATGGCTAAATTTATTAATCTTAGACCGTTATTATTGTTTATATCGTGTTTGCTTTCACCTCCCGTTATATTTTTGTAAATTTCTTCTTTGCCTACTTTTGCGTTTGCATCTCCTAGAATTATTTTCAGATGACTTTTCTTTAATATATACCTGCATTTTCATGAAAATTGAAGACCAAAAATTTGCATCACCAATAAAATAAGACTCAAAAAATCATATCCTTAATGTGTATACAAATTAAAAAAATTTAGTACAACACTGGACGTCAGTTCTCGAAATATTTGTTTAGCGAGCATACTATTAACGTCATTATTATTAAGTTCACATTTACGTAAATTCAAAACGTTTAATCTAGAAATAAATATAGAAATTTGAAAGCAGATATTTTAACAATTTTTGAGAAATGTTTTTGTTTTGTATAATTTATGTATCAGTAAAAAATATAGTAAATACTTTTTTCTATGATTATTTAACAATGTATGTATTATACATCCACTTTCTATTGAAAATGAAGCCACTCACGAAGTTTTAAATATGTGGAAACCCAGAAAAGCAGGTTTAGACGTACTGTGTACTAGAAAATTCATTATCGACTATTAACTATTTAGTAAATAAAAATAGATATAATAATTCGCTAGAAAAACGTCATAAATTACTTTTAATTAAAAAAAAAATATTTGCATAATTCACGGCAATTATTTAAAAGCTTTTACGAAATATTTCAGTAAGTAGATAATTGGTGTTTTAATAAATATTCATATATCTAAGAATAAATTATATTAAGGTTCATTGCTTACCTAAAATAACTACAATTTCAAATCGCTCCCTAAGTAAATTATTTGCGGACATGTTGTAAAGTGGGGAATTACAATCGATTTTATGAACGATAGTTGTTGGCCAAATGAAGAAAATCTTATCTTCCTCCCCGTCACCGCCTACCTAAAATGAAAACAAAACCTACCATTATATTATACAGGATGATTAAATACACATTTCAAATTAACAAAATTTCTTTTATGATTTTTCTCACTACAAAAATTAGCAAATTATCAGCAGACGTAAAGAACAGGTGTGGACTCAGCACAACGCATGCGTGCAAACGTTTGTGCTAAACTTAATATTCTAATCATTTTAATCTTTTATCAGGATATGTATATACAATCACCTCTGTCTTTACCCACATAAATGAATATTTTAATGAAGTAAAGTCCAATAACTTGGACTGACCTCTTAACATACGGTCTTTGGTTATCAGTAAAGTTGCAATTCTGTTGGAAACGATAATATATTAATCCAAAAATATGAGAAGCAATCTTTTTATGAATACTTTTCGGAATACCTCCCAATATTCACTATATACAGAATAAAATTAAATAGATTCTTAGTCAAGTATCCCGTCTTTATAATAGCATACCAAAACTTATCCCCAAATTTAAGAGGAAAGTGACTGAAATGCTGTAATAACTCCTTATACTCTAGAGGAGTTTCATGATCATTTTAAAGGCTAAAACCTTTATGATAAGTCTTATTGTTTTTATGTTTATTTTATATCTGTGCATATTTGTGTACTTGTCCAATGGCCATTAGGCTCCAAATTTTATTTATGGACCAATAAAGAATTTGAATTTAAACTAATGTTCACTACATATAACGTTACTATTATATCAAAGTATCCAACATGAAATTATACAAACATTTCTAAATAAAGGTTTATTAAACAAATGATCCCTATGGTTCATGATGAAATAAAGCAGAAAGCTGTCAAACATGCAGAGAGATTTCATAATTACTCTAATGTGCAGAGGTGCTTTAAGAAGCTGAACAATAACATCTTGTGTGTAGTGATGTGTATAATATATAAAAAATGTTTGTAAAGTAGGCCATAGAAAAATAAAGCAAGTGCGAATTTTCCTTTAGTCAGACTTTCAATTTTTGGCGTCTTTTTTTGCGCATGTGGGCATATTATTTTTTTTATTTTAACTAACTCAAAATACCTTGAAAAATCTTTTTATTGGGTAATTGGAAAAGCCGAAAATGACCACGAAATTTTTCTAGGGCTTCTGAGTTTTCTGGTAGGGCCCCAGAATCGCTCTAAAACTCACTTTCGGTCCCATATCTCGTTTCACATGAACGCTATCAATTTTTTATAGTAATTTTCGTCTTTCCCAGGCCAAAATACCCTATGTTGAATTTTTTAAAATTTTTAGGTTAAGTAATAAAAATTTTTGTGGTCCAGAATTTACATATTTTTCCTAAAATACTCCAAGTATTTTAGCGAGATGAGGAGCTTCTAAATATTTTTTTTATAACTTTTATACTCTATTGAACGGCTCTCCATCATATTTTGGTAATATCTTAAATAATATGGGCTCAGAAATGGTTTATCTGCACCCATCTCCTGGAGAGGTCTTCTTAAAAAAAAAAATATTTTCCAAACGGTCGAATAATTATGACATTTCAGGTCGTGGAATACCTTAGAATGTCATGAAAAGAAAGAAAATGTCCTCTAAAAGTTTGTGCCGATTTTGCCTTTAGAAGTTAGACTTGTCAATTTTTCGCGCCTTTTATTGCGCACATGGGCATATAATTTTTTTATTTTAATTCAAAATACCATGAAAAATCTTCTTATTGGGTATTTGGATCTGAAAGTATTAATACTCTTTTTAAATGAGTTTGGATTTTATTCAGAAACGTTTATAGTTATCAATCACGAACATGACCTATATATCTGTCTTAGTCGATCACGACCTACTCTAGAAACATTTTTTTTATGAATTACTCGTTACAAAACTGAATGAACTAGTGTAAAGTTTTGTGCAGAAGCAGAAGGTTTTAAAACATTATTGGGGGTTATGATTAACAACCTGTGTTATTTTTAACAGGTCTGTTATTTTATAAACACACAGAAATAACAACCTGTTAACAAGTAACGTGTCTGTTAAAAATAACATTACAGTTTTTAACCTTCCTCGGTTGCAATACTCAAGATCCCCTCGGTTTACGTCGTTACATTTTTTGCAAATTGTTATGCAATGCAGTGATGGAATATATTAATGGAATGTTAAATGAAATACATGATTCGAATTTTATTTGGCAAAGAAATCTGTAAACAAAAATATAAATAAGCTATCCTTCAAGCTAAGCTTGAAAGTGTTATTAAAAAAATATTTATTGTATTTTTCACTTAAATTTTTAATAACACCTTAAATTTCACCCCAAAGCTTATTTTTTGTACAAAAAAAATAATTTCCCAATGATAATATAAAATACAAGTAATACTTACTTTTCCGCTTACCTTCAGTTCTGTTTGGAAAAACGGTAAGTTCTCTCCCTCCCTAGTAACTTTGTGTTTTATGAGTTGCGCTCTAACGTGCGCTTCTATAATGTGACTTTTTCTCATGTCACCTACCCTAAACATAAGACATGGTACACCATCTCGGTGGTTAATAACTGCATTTCTGGAAAACATCAACGTTTGAGTTCTTTTCTTTGGTCTGGAAAGTTTTGCGAAGACTACACCAACCTAAAACAATTGAATCTAACAAAATATGATTGAATGAATTAGTTCAACTTAGTTTTGGGATTGTATTTGAATTATTTTGATTGCTAGCTCACTATATTTGTTACGATCTGTATTTATGTTGATGTTGTTATTTTTAAATGATTAAATAACATACCCAGACAGCACAAGTAGTCCAATGAACGTCCATTTAAGAGTCAAAACGTTTTTGAATATATGTTTAAGTTTAGTACCCGTTTAGTAGTATTTTGACGTCCAGGGGACGTCAGTTTTAGGTAATTATTTATTAAGCTCACCAGATAATACCTATACATATATTCTTTTTTTTTTCCAAAATATAGGGCATTAAAAATTAAAAAATTGAATCTATTGAATTTCGTTCCACCATCAGAATTTTGAAATCTTAACTATTATAATCATAATAACAAATTGTTTAATGTTTAATCTTGAAGGAATAATATGTAGGATGATGATTTTTTTATGAATTCTTATCTAAATTTGATATTAGGATTATTTTTACAAATCTATGTATGTACAAACGAGGTTAAGGGCTAAAGGGTTGTCAGTTCAGTTTCTTATAAATTGATAAGTACCTACTTACCATAAATGCCTGAATCATAACACCTGTTATGCTTTGAATACACATGACGAAGATGGCCTCTGGACATTCTTCTGTGGTAGTTCTACCGCCATAACCAATGGTATGTTGAGTTTCAATACTGAAAAGGAAGCACGACGTGAAGCCGCGTATATTTGTAATGCAAGGTACCCATGGATCGGTGCCATTCTGTAACATATAATAGAAGAAAAAAAATCATGAATTTTTTTGTAACGTAAGAGATATTTTTGACAAAACTGTGAAAAGTCAAATACTTAATTTGACAAAACCACAGATATGGTATGTGGACAAACCTTAGAATATATATGTTCTAAGGGACAAACCCTCTAAATATTGTTGCGTTATAGATGGCGTGATTAAGTAGGTTTAGCATTCCACGGAAAGTGCTAATACCTTTATAACTTGTTAACAGGTCACAGCCAATCTAAAATATGAGAAAAATTGAATGCACTAATAAAGTATCATTAAAAAAAGTTTAATTCGGCCCTGTGACAAATTCTATAACTCGTGTACACGATAAAATCTATAATAAAAAAAACTGAAACTAATTTTAATTGATGCACCATTGTTTTAAAAATAAGCAACTGCGAACAAGAAACCCAAACAACGCGTGTCCTCGAAACTAATCTGAAACTAATTTTGCCATTCGCATATTCGCATTGTTGACCGATTTTTACAATCTGTTTATTTAAAGAGAAATCACGATTTGATGAATTTATTTTTCTTTCAAACAATTTCAAAGATTGAGTGTGTATATATTTAGATTAAATGATTAAATTTAGTTCATTAAAGTTCAGTAACAGAAAAATATCGGACATATTGTTTACAAAACAATGTATTCATTTAAATTAAGAAGGGTTTGATTAGATGAATAATATAGAGTTTGAAATAAATTATTGTATTGTAACTATTTTATTTTATAAAACAACACAATTATATTTAAAAAGTAAAGTTCGTATACTGAATGTTTAAGATTTTCCCATCCCAAGCATATATTCGTTAACATCAACAAGTTATCTTAATATGTTCTGTCGAAATATCCCATAAAAAAAGTCTCAAGTTTGTTGGTGTGACGTATTACACAGCATCGTTGTCGTAGCAGTTCTAGAACTAACAGGTATGCTTGATCTTTCATATTTAGAGTCCAATAATTCCATTCATCAACAAGTTTTTTCTGACCATCCCACTAGTCTTTAAGACTTGCATCAATAGGTCACCACTGCTTTCGATAAGTACCTCCATGGTGCCTTCATGGTACCTATTTTAAATTAGCAATTTCATTTGAGGTTATTAACACGTTCACGACCTCGTTTTTTTGGGTGGCATAACTTGACAGAAATATTATATATTTTATAGGTTATATGGCTTTTTTTATCTATTTTTTGTATTTTTTGTGTGCCAGACACGCTCAGAAACTGACGCCAAAATACATCTGTCGCTGCTGAACCGCTCGGGAATGATTTGCATGTAATCATTGTAGGGCCATTGTCACACATTTGTAACATCAGTTTCTGGAAAAAACTGCTTGTCACATATATGTGACGCGTAGTCGTCAACGTGTTAAAATACAAAAGTTTATAGTAAAAGGTTTTTAAAAGAAAACCTAAGAAATAAAGGGTGTATCTTATAGTGGTATTCGATGTTTTTTTCAAATAACTTGACAACCAGGTAACGGATCGCCCTGTTTGTTAATGTTTTAGAAACGTCAGTCCAGTACAATTTTAACAATGAACCACCTTACACCACAACAACGTGCTGAAATTGTAAAAAAATATTTTCAAAAAACACTCCTATTGCGTGCCATGTTCCCAAATCGATTGATATCGAAATACGGCGATTTCGACTGGCCGGTTCATTCACCTGATTTGACCGCATCTGACTTTTTCCTGTGGGGATACCTGAAAGGAAAGGTTTATGCCGATAAACCAGCCACCCTCCAATAACTTAAGGCCAACATACGCCGAGAAATCGCTGCTATTCAACCCGAAATACTCTAAAAAGTGATGGAAAATGCCGAAAAACGGGTCGATTTGTGTGGCGTCCGGAGGTGGCCACTTGGCCGATGTCTTCTTCAAAAAGGGACCAAATAAATTGTAATGGATCGAATGTTGACTATTAAATACCTTTTTATAGTACAGATTCTTCATACTGGTAAACGAAGATGGCTATATTTTCTTCAAAAGGCAATCAGTGGGATTATCATGGTAAGATGAATGAATTGAAGAAGACTTCATGGAATGCTTCAATCAAATTCAAGAGTGGTTGAGGAATCAGGACATATCTTATTCAGTCACTACGTTGTACGGTGAGTAATTTTTATTTAGTATAGTAATAAGCTATCAAAAATATATCTAGGGGAACAGCATTGCCTTTGTGTCTTCAATTCAATAGAATTGATTTGAGGCATTTCAACAATTTTATAAGACACATTAATTGGGATGGAGAAAACAGAGAGATTGTATAAACAGATTGGAAATTGATACTATTATTATATCGCCAATCATAGATGATTCCGACTTTAGTTCTGATTAATCTGAGTGATGCAAAAAGAATGGTTAAACATTTAAACTGTTATTTGTTGCAAATTGCACCAAACCTAAATAAAATTATGTTAATCTAAGCCAAAATCTTTCTTTTGCCGTTTTAAAGTGCTTGTACAAAAATAAGTGTTTTAGCAAATTTTCTAATGTTCCCTTTGGCAATTTGGCAACTATGTGTGATTGTGACGGTCTAAAATTAGAAGCGTTATCAATTTTATATTAAATGTAGTACAGTTTTGATTTTAAATGAAAGATAATTCTTACTTACAATATGCTCCTCGCTGAGATCTCCATGAGTAAATACAATAAGCCACCACACTATAGCAAACATCAGCCAAGATAAAAAGAAGTTCATGGCGAACACCAACAGCGTCCAGCGCCATTGCGCGTCCACCAACGTTGTAAAAATGTCTTGAAGGTATTTTCGGCGTCTTTTGGCGACGTTGCCTTGTATCACATTGCAATCACCGTGTTTGAAAACTACTCGTTTCCTAATTCTTCTTGCATTGAATCTGGACTGCCTAAATCTGAAACAAAGAGAGGACATGTTTAATTATTGCGGCAATTGGATTTTCTGCTATACATTTAATTTAAAACAAACCTCAACAATGTCTACTTATTTAAATAAACTGCTGTATGATCTGACTTAAGCATTTGATTTTGTGATAATTCAATTTTTTTTCTCGGTACTCATGGTACAATATTGAGTTAGATGAATTAAATATTTTTTAACCAATCGCTTATTTAGAATTGATCTAAATGGACATACATCTGCAGGGCCGACTAGAGGGGGGCAGCCGAGACTAATTTCCGGGGCCCGGACTCAAATGGGGGCCCGGCAGCGGTATAAGGGGGGCCCGGCAACCGGATTTTTGTTGTTTTCTATCAAAAGTTCGGCACAAGACGAGAGGAGGAAAAGTTTTTTGGTTGAGGAGCTTTTTTTTTTAGAAAATTCAATTGAAGTAGAGGAGCTTTTTTTAGAAGTTGAAGAGGAAAAGTTTTTGTTTGAACAGCTTTTTTTTTGTCACGGGACCCGATCTAGAAAATTGTCCTGGGGTCTGGCCTGGCTCTCGGCGGCCCTGTACATCTGATAAGAAAAGTAGTTGGCATCCCATCCAAAAAAGCACATCCTGTTTGAATATGAGGTACTTCTGAGAGTTATATTATAAATCCTGCGATAATAAAAGGCCGAAGAACATCTAACAGCGTTTAACATAATTCATAATCCATAATACGCTGTTTACAATGAGCACTATAAGTCTATTTCCAAGTATAACAACTTATACTATTTTACTAAACACAATTTAAAAACCGCAACCATCTATAATATTTAATATCAGGATGTATAAGATATGAATCACCACTATGATATGAGCACTTCTATTTTTTCATCACAAAGTTGTTTAATGTAATGATTTTGCAGGCTGATGCACTTTACTGAAACTAACAGAATCTAAATAAAATATCCTGGAATGTAATCGACATCATTTTTTTCCGCTATGATATATTTTAAAACGAAATTCACGTAAATTGATGATGTACAGAGTGTTCTTTTTAATAGCATACAATAATATATCTTCAAACTCATGTATTCCAATACTCAAGCAACTTTTAAAGCAAACAAGTTTGTTGAGAAATATTTAAAACTCTTTGGAAGTTATAACAGAGTTGTGTACTCAAAATAAAATAATTTTAGCCAAGGGACTAGGACATAGGATAGGGCCAATGTAGATATCTGAAAAGAAGTTGAACATGCCCTAAATGATTATTATTAACAAAAATAATAATGCTCTCCCTATGATTCACCCCCTTTACGAATTAATTTGAACCCCTGAAGCAAACTGAGTTTAGAAATGAAATTACTGATAATGATTCAATGATGGAGTAACTCATTAGAATCCACCTGGAGCATAGGGAGAATAAAAACAACATAAGACTTCTTCATCACATTAAACTTATTTTATTCACCAATCTTATTTATATATTTTTCTTTGTTTTTGAAGATATATGTACCTTAAAAATTTCAAAATAAACGTTTCTAGCTAAATAAACAATTTGTTATTGCAGACAGTGCTGACCTACCTTTTGAAAGTCTCAGAATAATCCACATAACGATCGCAAGTATTTTCTTCGTAATTTTTTAATGTTTCAAACGAAAGCACGGACATAATTTTATCGAAAACCAACGAAAAAACAGACGATTCTGATTCACTTTTCACAAAAATTCGTTTGGACATCACAATTTTGTAAATTAACCTTTCTCCAATAATTTAAACATTTAAGCACGGCCTATCGTTGATATACACGTTCTCACTGATAGTGTTAATAATAAACTACAATTTAAGAAGTTAAATGATCATGTTTATTAAAACATGAACAAGTCGCTTATCTAAACCGACTTTAATACTTTAGTTTCGAAGAGAATCAACAGTTATTGAGAAATGTCTGGCATAATGTTGAAATATAATTGTCGGGAAGTATTGTTAGGGAATTTTCGTATATTGGGTTAACTAATATGGTCAACTAACAATTAATTTAAATTTAGAACAATTATATAAATATTAACGAATGTAAATATGGTTTGCTAAAAATTAACATTAAAAAAAAATATTATCAGTATACTGATAATTATAAAGTAAAAATGGCTGCCATTTATGAAAGAGAAAATGTTGAGCATAAAAGTTTAATTCAGAGCCAATACTGCGCAAAAAAATATATTTTAAAATGAATGGGTAACATCTGGACCCTCACAGACAATCAACACGCAAAAATACAGGTTTCTTTTCATGTATTTTAAAATTGGCAAGAGTTATGTATGGAGACCCTAAAAAATTGCATACTTCTTTTTTTTTCAACTAATTCGTCTACATGCAGGTTTGCCAACTGGCTTATCTTGTCGTTCTCAATTTAGACCTTTTGTAAAAGCACCTGGATGGGTTATTTTGTAAATAGGCACAAACGCAAAAATCCGTTATAATAATTGTTAGGTATCCTGATCATTTATTCTTTAGGTACAATACATTATATATAGGGTGAGTGATGGATAAACGGCACACACTACAGGAGTGTACTATACACATGAAAATAATGTAAAAAAAACTCGCATTATGTTCTATCGGATTTTCATTTGTTTTCAAGTGGAGCCTAATTAAACATTTTTATTTAGTTTTAAGGTGAAGGGGGAGAAAAAGTCCTTTATATCTCACAAGGAAAGTCAATGTTTAATTATTTAACAAAACATTGAGTGCGACCGGTTTCGAAGTGTCATCACTTCATCTTCAGGCTCGCCTAGTGGAAAGGAGAATATGTGGTGTAAGGTATGTTAACACTTAGAGCAAACCAACGAAACCAACGAACACGTTTAAAGATTAGGTTAGATTGTGTGATTTCACATCCGTCATTTTCTTCTTTTCTTCTTTTATTCTTCAGTTGCTTCACAACAGTTAACCCAGTCATTTCTTCTTCTTTCTTATTTTATCCTACAACATCACATACACTTGGTGATTGGTTCATGGCCCAAATCTTATATAATAAATAATAAATATTTCTTCACTCATAGTTTACATCTTATTACCTATACCCTGTCATGGGTTTGTTTACCCAATAATTTTTTTTTTTGGTTAATACTTGCCACCACCTGTAGAGGCCTTAACTTGACAGGTCTCCTTTCAAAAATGTTAGTTTTTTGAAAAAACAAGGTTGTTTAAAATAAGCCTTATCTTTTAATCTGTTTAATGTATGTGATTTGTTTTGTATAGTCTTGAATATTTTAAATTTTACTATTTTAATTGACTAATATTTGTTTTTCAAATATTTTTAACTTTTTATTACTTGTAAACTTTGTTCATTTTACAATTTATTTCACCTCACATTTGATGAAACTTGTTTTGTAGTATTCCCTAGTGGATGGAGAGTATGGTGAGTTTTCCCTTTTTTACTATTTTATATATCGTTTGCTCTAAGTGTTAACACACTTTACACCACATATTCTTTCCACTAGGCGAGCCTGAAGATGAAGTGATTACACTTCGAAACCGGTCGCACTCAATGTTTTGTTAAATAATTAAACATTGACTTTCCTTGTGAGATATAAAGGACTTTTTCTCCCCCTTCACCTTAAAATTACCTCAACTCACACATGGCTACCCCCCTTGTCAATTTTTATTTAGCATTGTACTTGTATCCAAATTGTTTTTTTTTATATATATATATATATATATTTACATATAGTTTTTTTTAATTATGATTGTCAATATCTTGATAAATTATTGTTTGCTTACGTAATGACGTGATTCTACCAAAAATATAGTCGTACGATTTTAACGAATTTTATTAAAGTAACAACATCTCGAAAACAATCTATTTTTTACTAAGGTCTTATTATGTTTTTCTGGAAGCTTATGAAATGGTCCATCACCCCTTTCAGTATTATCGTTGACTTTCCGGACATCCTGTATAATACCTATATAATTTTATTTGAATAAAATATACCTGGCCCAAGTATGTGCCCAAGCTTCTTCTCCAGAAGTGCTAGCCTTGAACGCCAACATGGACATTTGAGACAGACATCTCCTCAATCCTGCCATGCTTACCATTGTAGAACTAGATGTTGTCGGTGTCGTCATAAGGCTCAACAAAGCACACAAACACTACCGAACACACTCGAGAAATTCTGCGCACTCGACAACGAAAATTTACTATCACAACGAAAATTTATTCAAGTTTATTCTGTCACATAAGTTCTTATTTTGGTAAATTATCGACGAGAATAACAAAATAAACATTTTTTTTATCCGTTCTTTTTATTAGCGTCTCGAGAAACTGTTCATAAGAAGCGGATATTGATAAAGTGTAATTTTAAAGCGTACTTAATGATTAGATAATATTTTTATAGAGTACTATTATGTATTTTTTGCACAACTTCGTTTCTAGGTAAAACATTTTCTATATTCCAGTGTAATAGTTCTCAATTTCTTTATTTGTGCATATTGGATGAAACAAAAAATTACTAAAAAAACGGACGTTATTTCATTAATAAATGGTTAAAGCAATGCCAGAAACGTATACGTAAACGTATACGTAAACGTATCTAATGACAGCTACGCAAGCGCAAATACTATTTTTCCCACGTATTCACGATTTAATAAAACTAATGACGTACTGTAACTTATAAGGTCTTTTCTTTTGCATCGAAAGTGTAGCACTAAGCTACACCACTTCTGAAAATATCGTTCTATTTATACAAATTGTAGCTGAATGCTACACTTTTGATGCAAAGGAAGAGACCTATTATGTTCTGTTTAAATTTGGCGTGTCAAAGACCCTAACAAATCTAATTATGTCGTTTTTTTAAATCAAATTTCAAACAAATTAATAAAATTGAATCTCCCATATGAAGCAATGTATTGTCCAAATTTTCTTCATCTTGTAGAATTTGTAATAATGCAGCATCATTTAAATCATCATCACTTTTACCATCATCGTCATTTAAAGCTTCTAAAATTAAAATACTTACAATAGTTTTCTC